GGCGCTTCGTCCGTCCACTGCTCCATAGCGTGTCCCACTGCCGTCTCCTCCTGCTTCCTCACTTCCGGCTCTTGCTGACCCTGGGTCAGACTCTTTTCGTGCTACCAGTCCTACTGTCACGCGTCTCCTGGCTACTGTTGTCACTGACCCTTCCTTTGAGTCTGCTGCTGCGTCTGCCTTAGTTGCTGAGCTTGTCGACTTTGCTGCTCGCTGTCGTCTAGACTACGGTGCTAGCCTAGTTGCTGAGTCTGAGTCTGTCTGTCCTCCGTCCGTCAGGGGTGAGTGTGCTCTTGGCACTGACGTCCTTGAGGACAGGCAGGAGGAGTTTGAGTGCTTTGCTGCCGCTTTGCCCCATCTCGTGTCCATGCTTGTTGCCCCTGAGGGAGACCCGGATGCACCAGACATCCCGACCCCACGCTCTTACGCAGAGGCGATGGCCGGTCCCTACTCCTCTCAGTGGCAGTCACCCATGGACACAGAGATGGCTTCCTGGAAGTCCACAGGCACCTACGTCGACGAGGTTCCCCCACCTGGGGCGAACATCGTCAGTGGCATGTGGATTTTCAGGGTGAAGCGGCCGCCGGGCTCTCCGCCTATCTTCAAGGCGCGTTACGTTGCACGAGGCTTCAGTCAGCGAGAGGGAGTTGACTTCTTCCAGACCTTCTCCCCGACCCCGAAGATGACCACTCTTCGGGTTCTGCTGCACGTCGCCGCTCAGCGTGACTACGAGCTCCACTCGCTTGACTTCAGCACTGCTTTCCTGCAGGGCAGCCTGCACGAGGAGATCTGGCTGCGCCGTCCACCTGACTTCACTGGGTCCTTCCCTCCTCGTACCCAGTGGAGCCTCCGACGGCCAGTCTACGGTCTCCGCCAGGCGCCTCGTGAGTGGCACGACACACTGAGGACTACGCTTGCGGCTCTTGGGTTCGCGCCTTCTACTGCTGACCCGTCGCTGTTTCTTGGCACCGACACCTCACTGCCGCCGTTCTACGTCCTTGTGTACGTCGACGACTTGGTCTTTGCTACTGCTGACACTGTGGCACTCGCCCACGTGAAGTCGGAGCTGCAGAAGAGACACACGTGCACAGACCTGGGTGAACTGACAAGCTATCTTGGCTTGCGGATCACCCGGGACAGAGCACGCCGCACCATCACCTTGACTCGGTCACACATGGTGCAGCAGGTCCTTCAGCGCTTCCGCTTCACGTACTCCTCGCCTCAGCCCACTCCTCTGCCTACCGGTCACTCGCTCTCAGCTCTGCCTTCGGATGAGTCCGTAGAGCCGAGTGGCCCGTATCCAGAGCTTGTGGGTTGCCTCATGTACCTGATGACCTGCACTCGACCAGACCTTGCATACCCTCTCAGCATTCTTGCACGCTATGTCGCTCCCGGCCGTCACCGGAAGGAGCACATGGATGCAGCTAAGAGGGTGTTGCGCTACTTGTGCAGTACGTCGGGCATGGGGCTAGTGCTTGGAGGGCGAGTCCCAGTTGTTCTTACTGGGCACTCAGACGCTTCTTGGGCAGACGACCAGGCTACTCAGCGGTCGTCTCAGGGTTACTCCTTCAGTCTTGGCTCTGGTTCTGTTTCTTGGCGTTCTACTCGCTCTTCTTCTGTTCTCAGCTCCAGTTGTGAGGCTGAGATCTACGCCACAGCCATGGCAGCCATGGCGGTCCAGGGGCGGCTGCACCAGGGGCGGCTGCACCAGGGGCGGCTGCTTCAGGGGCCAGGGGCGGCTGTTCGGGGTCTAGGGGCGGCTGCTTCAGGGGCGGTTGCTGCAGGGGCTGTGGGCGGCTGCTCTGTGTCCAGGGGCGGCGCTCGAGGGTTCAGGGGCGGCTGCACCAGGGGCGGCTGCTTCAAGGGCCAGGGGCGGCTACTCTGGGTCCAGGGGCGGCTGCTCCTGGGGCGGCGTAGCTGGTGCAGGGCAGCGCGCGGGTCCCACAGGTGCCGTGACGGGCGACGGGGGGCAGCGCGCCGTCACCGGAAGAGGCGACGTGCGGGGCCGGCGGCAGGCTATAACGGGGCCGAAAAGCGGGCTACGCGGGCGGCGGACGCGGCGCGCAGGGCCTAAGCGGGCTGCGCGTGGGCAGCTCGCGCGACGCGCGGGCCAGCGGCAGGCTGCGCAGGCAGCTGACGTGGCGCGCGGGGCCGAAAACAGGCCTAAACGGGCCTAAACGGGATGCGCGTGAGCTGCTTAAGAGGCGCGCGCAGGAAAAAAAAAAGGCCGCGCGCGTGCAGCTGATGCGCGCGCGGGCAGTAGGCAAGGTAGGTAGGCACGTGAGGTAGGTAAAAAGTAAACGGTGGGCCCTAATCCTAGGTCCTAAGGACCTATGCTCTAGAAGCCATGTTAGAGTCTTAGGCAAGGATGAAGTTTGACTATCGAGAGAGTTGGTACAAAGGAGAAACCTAAGGGGTTGTATCCCACAATGAGTACCCCACTAAGCCTACCCAAACTATAAACATAGAGATATGCTTGACAACAAGACCCAAAACAGTACAGAAACACTGATAATCACGAGGCTGAAGTGCCTTGGTGAATATATCAGCAGTGTTGGCCCGAGCGGCCACGTAAGCAAGACGAAGCTGGCCACGCTGCTGCAACTCTCGAGCAAGATGTCAGAAACTACAGGAAGGAATGAATGAACTAGAAGGAATTGGGTACAATTATGAAACCCTAAAGGGGCTATACCCCATTTTGGTTATCCCACTACAGCCTACACATATATAATACATATATAATTTGACACACTCCCATAGGCAAAGTGGGGGAGAGCAAAGGGTCACAAGTCCAGTCAAGGAAAGAAAAGCAAGCTCAGGGTGGATCATAACGTCACCACACACACTGAGCACAAGCAAAGGGCCACAAGGCAAGTTCACATGCAGAGATATATATGCAGCAATAACAGCACAGTGATCACTACCTAGCAAGAGCAAGCATGCAGGTATATATATATATATATATATATATATCACATGACAAGCAAAATCTATAGCAAGTGCGGAAACGTAGGCACAAGGCCTAACAAAGTACAAAAGCGTTGATGATTACCAGACTGAAGTGCCTTCGTGAATATATCCGCAGTGTTGGCCCGAGTGGCCACGTGAGCAAGACGAAGCTGACCCCGCTGCTGCAACTCTCGAGACAGGAAGTAACGCAGAGCAATGAGCTTCGTTCTGTCCTCCCGTCTATGGTCCTGACACAAGGCAATGGCGGCCTTGTTGTCAACGTACAAAACTGGAGGAGAACGAGGCCGCTCTCCAAGTCAGTCAGCAGGTAGGTGAGCCAGCGTAACTCCTGTGCAACCTTGGCTCCGGCTCTGTTTGTTTGCGGTCTACACGCTCGTCTTTTGTTCTCAGCTCCAGTTGTGAGGCTATGAGATACATGAGACAGCCCACTAGCACCGGGTAAGGACCACTCGACTCTACGGACTCGTCAGAAGGTGGGGCTGAGAGCGAGTGACCTGTAGCCAGAGGAGTGGACCATGGGGAGGATCAGGTGAAGCCGAAGCGCTAAAGGACCTGCTGCACCATGTGTGACTGAGTCAGTGTGATGGTGCGGCGTGCTCTATCCCGGGTGATCTGCAAGCCAAGGTAGCTGCGCAGCTCACCCATGTCTGTGCACGTGTGTCTCTTCTGCAGCTCCCACTTCACCAGGGCGAGAGCCTCAGTGTCAGTAGTGGCAAAGACCAAGTCGTCGACGTACGCGAGGATGTAGAACGGCGGTAGCGAAGTGTCGGTGCGCAGAAACAGCGACGGGTCAGCAGTCGAAGGAGCAAACCCAAGAGCCGCAAGTGTCGTCCTCAGTGTGTCGTACCACTCACGAGGCGCATGGCGGAGAATGTAGACTGTCCGCCGGAGGCTCCATGGGTACCAGGAGGGAACGACCCAGTGAAGCCAGGTGGGCGGCGCAGCCAGATATCCTCGTGGAGGCTGCTCTGTAAGAAGGTTGTGCTGAAGACAAGAGAGTGAAGCTCGTAGTCACGCTGAGCGGCAACGTGCAGCAGCACCCGAAGAGTGGTCATCTTCGTGGTGGGGGAGAAGGTATGGAAGAAGTTAACTCCCTCCCGCTGAATGAAGCCTCGTGCAACGTAAGGAGCCTTGAAGACAGGCGGAGAACCAGGCGGCCGCTTCACCCTGAAAATCCACATGCCATCGACGATGTTCGCCCCGGGAGGGGGAACCTCATCGACGTAAGTGCCTGTGGACTTCTAGGATGCCATCTCTGCGTCCATGGCTGTCTGCCACTGAGAGGAGTACGCACCCGCGATCGCCTTAGCGTAAGAGCGCGGGGTCGGGATGTCTGATGCATCCGGGTCTCCCTCAAGGGCAAGCAGCATGGCCACGAGATGAGGCGCAGCGGCTGCAAGACACTCAAGGTCCTCGTGCCTGTCCTCAAGGACGTTTGTGCCAAAAGCACACTCACCCCCGACGAACGGAGGACGGACAAACTCAGACTCAGCAACAAGACTAGCGGCGTAGTCTAGACGACAGGTAGCAGCAAAGTCAACAAGCTCAGCGACTAAGGCAGACGCAGCAGCAGACTCAAACGACGGGTCAGTGACAACTGTGGCAAGCAGACGCGTGACACTAGGGTGAGCAGCACGAGTGTGGTCAGACTTAGGGTCTGGAACATCAGGCAGAGAAGATGTCACAATAGATGTATATCAATTTAGTATAATCTGGCTATAGTGTAGCTGTTGTGTAATTCCCTTGTATGGTGGTGCACCTCTTTCACCTTTGTTAGGTTGCTATATGTACTCGTGTGCTATAGTGAACCTTCACCCATTCTTGATTCTCACTTGGCACAACTGATTCGACACCCGCTTGGCCTAGGCTTCTAAGCCTAGGCCCTCCTTAAACCCGGTTACCAGTTAAGACACTATCGTAACATGGTATCAGAGCTAGGTCCGATTTAGGACCGTTCGTTTTACATGGGCCCACCACTAGCCCTCATCGTGGCGCATCCCGTCGCGTAGCCCGTAGGGCGCATCGTGAGCGCCATGACGATAAGCTCGTCGCGCTGCCCTGCTGCAGCTCGTCGCCCCACGCTACCCGCTGCTACAGCCCATCGCCCGTCCCGTCGCGCTGCCACCCGTCACCCGCCTCGTCGACCGTCGCTCGTCCCGTTGCGCTGCCGCTCATTACGTCACATCCCGTCACCTGCCTCGTCGATTGACACCCGCCCCTGTCTCACTGCAGCACGTCGCCCGTCTCGTCGCACTGCCGCCCGTCGCCAGATCCCCGCCACCCCTACGCACTCCGCTGCCCGTCGTCAGGTCCCTGCCCGCCCTCCCGTTGACTTCGCAACTGCTGTGAAGGGAGTGGCGGGAGTGGCGAGAGTGGTGGGAGTGGCGGGAGAAGCTGCTGCTACGCCATTGCACGCGCCAGATCGTCCGCGACCTGCACCTCGCACCCTGCCTGTCGCCCGTACGCCACCCGCACCCCGCCCACCGCCCGTGCGCCACCCGCATCCCGCACCCCGCCCGTCGCCCGTACGCCATCCGCACCACGCACGACGGCCGTGCCCCCGTCCGTGAGACCCATCCGAACTCCGTACCTGCACCCAAACCGCCGTTCTGCCCAAGATCCCGCCCCCCCCCCACCAACAACTTCCACCCCACCCCCATCTCCGGCTTCGTATCCAGAAGGAAGGGGAGGAGGTGTGGTGTTGGCCCAAAGGGGACGGCTAGGGGAGGGGGAGTGGTGGGGTTGGCGGTTCATGTAAGGGGGAGGTTGAGGGGGTGGGTGATCCATCTGCAGCTACTGCCGCCACACCTCCCCCTCTCTCTCTCCGCCGCTGCTGCTGCTGTGGGGGGGGAGGTTCAAGGGGTGTGGGTGGTGAAATTTCGACTGCAGCATCATCCGCCTCCTCCTCCTCTCATCCCTTGCTGCCCGTGCCTTGCTGTCCACCCGTGATTCTGCCCGTGATTCTGCCCGTACTGCTGCCCGTGATTGTGCCCGTGATCATACCTGTGTGCTGCCCGTATTTTGCCTGTGTTCTGCCCATGATCCTGACCGTGATTCTGCCCGTGATTCTGCCCGTGTTGTCGCCCGTGATTTTTCCCATGATTCTGCCTGTGATCCTACCCGTGTTGCTGCCCGTTCCCGTGCCATACTGCCCGTGCCCACCCGTGTCTCCCGTTGCTGCCCGTCTTCTACCCGCGCCCAGTGTCCTCCATTCTGCCCGTGTTGCCCCTTTCAGCCCTTGTCCTGCCCCGTTCTTCCTGTGCAGCCCCATTGTCCCCGTGTTGCCCCATTCTGCCCGTGTTGCCCCGTTCAGCTCGTGTCCTGCCCCGTTCAGCCCGTGTTCTGCCCTGTTCTGCCCGTGTTGCCTCGTTCAGCCCGTGTCCTGCCCCGTTCAGCCCGTGTTCTGCCTTGTTATGCCTGTGTTGCCCCGTTCAGCCCGTGTCCTGCCCCGTTCTGCCCGTGTTGCCCCGTTCAGCCCGTGTCCTGCCCCGTTCTGCCCGTGTTGCCATGTTCTGCCCATGCTGCCCCGTTCTGCCCGTTTGTGCCCTACCCGTGCTGTCCGTACCCGTTGGTGCCCCACCCGTGCTGTCAGTTCTCGCTCGTGCCCCACCCGGTCTGTGCTGCCCGGTCTCGTGCTGCTCCTCACCTCCGTGCCGCCCATCCCGTACAACACCTAGTTGCTATCCGAACCCGCTACCCGTACCCGTGCTCCTCGCACACTGTGCACCAGCTGCGGGGCGTTCAACCGCAGCCGGGCACCTGTTCCACCGCGGTGGTTCAGATGCTGCTTGGTGGTTGCTGCTTGTCAGCCTCAGAGGGGGCCCCTTGCTGGTGCGCCCACGCCCTGTAATGGGGTTTTACAGGTGTACCCCTTCAAGGGGGGCTCTGCACATGGTTATGCACTTCAGGCAGATAGGGGGTGTGTCACAATAGATTTATATTTATTTAGTATAATCTTCCTGTAGTGTAGCTGTTATGTAATTCCCTTATATGGTGGTGCACCTCTTTCACCTTTGCTAGGTTGCTATATGTACTCGTGTGCTATAGTGAACCTTCACCCATTCTCGATTCTCACTTGGCACAACTCATTCGACACCCGCATGGCCTAGGCTTCTAAGCCTAGGCCCTCCTTAAACCCGGTTACCAGTTAAGACACTATCGTAACAGAAGATGCAGTAGGGGACGGCAGTGGGACAGCTGTGGAGCAGAGGAAGGACGAAGGGCCATGAGGTGCGTGCCGGGGACAGCCAGCGGACGCGGACGAGGAAAACGACGACCAGTACGACCAAGGCGAACAGGCGAGACAGGACGCGACGCAAGCTCACGACGCTCATTAAGACCTCCTGTCTACTCAGTGTAAGGAGAAGGAGCAGGCAGCGGTGAGCCAGGCTGTAACGGAAGACTATTAGAAGACCAGAGGCTAAGAACCTGGCAAAGCACAGAGTCAGGTGGTGGCAGAGACGAGGGAGACGGCGGAGCGAAGAACAGACGCGGCTGTGCAGTGCCACCAGCACCAGTAGCTCCAGCACCTCCAGCTCCAATGCCTCCAGCGTCAGCACCCCCAGCAGCTCCAGAACCTCTAGCGCCAACACCTCCAGTGCCAGCACCTCCAGCAGCTCCAGAACCTCCAGGTCCAGCACCTCCAGCGCCAGCATCTCCAACAGCTCCAGAACCTCCAGCAGCTCCAGAACCTCTAGCGCCAGCACCTCCAGCACCAGCGCCACTAGCAGCAGCACCCCCAGAACCGGCACCTCCAGCCCCAGGGTTTCCAGCCTCAGTGTCTCCAGTAGCAGCACCCCCAGAACCGGCACCTCCAGTCCCAGGGTCTCCAGCCTCAGCGTCTCTAGCCGCAGCACCCCCAGACCTGGTACCTCCAGCTCCAAGGTCGACAGCAGCCCCTCCAGGTCCAGCAGTACCTCCAGCCCCAGCAGCTCCAATTCCTACAGTACGAGCACCTCCAGGACCAGCGACTCTAGTAACTCTAGGAGACAAAGTACCACCAGTCTCAGCACGCACAGACTCAGTACCCCTAGACCCGGCGCCCCCACCTCTAGCAGCTCGACCCTGATGGCTAACGTACCACTCACGCAGCTGCTTTGGTGAGAGAGGCACACGCCGGCGAGAGGGCTGTGGCGAGGCACCAGCAGAGCGACTACTTAGGCGGCCAGGCGCCCCAGTACCCCCAGGCACAGCACCCACAGACTCGGCACTCCCAGGCTCATCACCTCCAAGCTCCGCACCCGCAGGCTCCGCACCCCGAGGCTTAGCACCCCCAAGCTCCGCACCCCCAGGCTCAGCACCTCCAGGCTCCGCACCCCCAGGCTCAGCACCCCCAGGCTCCACACCCCCTGGCTCCGCACCCCCAGAAGCAGTACTCCAAGCAGAACCACTTCCAGGAGGACCTGAGTCACCAGTGACCTCAACCGGCTCAGTCAAGGGAGGAGGGTCTACCCGAGACACACCTGAAGGAGCAGGACCTGGAGCAGGGAGGGGGTCTACCTGGGGAGGACCCGGAGCAAGAAAGAGCGGCGGGGGGGGGAGAGGGGCAGTGCGGTAGGGAAAGAGACGGTAAAAGGGGACCGACTCGTCAGAGGTGACGTCTTGAGACACCAAGACACGGCGCGAGGCGGGGTCTTAAAACTGCCAGCCAGGCGCGTCAGGGGGAAAGCCAAGGAAGACGCAGGGAATGGCGCGAGGGGAGAGCTTGTCGGCAGTGTTATCGCGGACAAAGACACGAGCACCCCAGACCCGGAATCGCGATGCATCGCCAACCTCCCCTGTCCAACGCAGTGTGGGCGAGGTCTCCGGCAAGGAGACACGGGGCCAGAGGTTGAGCTGATGCGCAGCGTACCGGACCGCAAACGACCACAGAAAATGGGGAGCAGCCGCATGGATCATGGAGGTACGAGCGACCTCCATGACTATGCCAATGCGGCGCTCAGCAACCCCATTCTACTGCGGAGAGGCCCGGAAGCGTGAACGTCTGGCGAATGCCCTCCTCCTGTCAGAATGCCTACAAGAGGTTGGAGAACTCACCGCCTCTGTCAGAGTGCAGACGCAGGACAGGAAAGTCCGACCGGAACCGCTCGCGGATCCAAGAGATCAACACAGCCGGGACCTCACCCTTGGTGCGTAAGGGGAAGACCGTGGTGTAGCGTGTGTAGTCGTCAATGACCAGCAGGAAGAACCGCTCGCGGCCCTGCCCCTGGACGCGGGCTGGGCCCCACACGTCCAGGTGGAGAGTCTGAAGTGGAGCCTCTGTGGGAGGGAACAAGGAGGAGTGAGGAGCGGCGGCTGTCGCCCCTCAACACAAGGAATGCAGGGCGGCGCAGGCGAGGGAGGGAGGGAGGTCAGAGACCTGGGAAGTCCAGAGACCAGGGAGCGAGAGTGCATGCCACAAAGGCGAGGCAAGAAAGGGTGACCAAGGCGGTGGTGTCAAAGGAGAGTCTGGTGCGACAGGCGGTGACAGTCACACAGGGTAGCTACCTGAGCGGACGCGTACAGCTGAGGAGACAAAGGGGTGTAGCGCGGCAGTGGTTAGGGTGTACAGACTGGACCCAGGCGCACGTGTTAACGTGGCCAGGTGGCGGCCGGTCCGAGAGCACGTGCAGATCGCCACACGCTGTCCTCCAGGAGTAAAGGTGTCTACCCAATGATCCTGAAGGACGGCGTTGCTCACCAGGTTCGTAGAGAACGTGGGGAGGTGGAGACCAGACAGCTCACTAGACGGGACTGCCGGACACGGAAGCACAGTAGAGGACCGTGCAAGCACTTGGTTCTTAGAGGGGTCAGCAAGTGAGACAGGGACAGGTGCAGGGAGGGGGGTGACTGTAGTACTGTCCCGAAAGAAACAGTGGGAAGCACCAGAGTCAAGTGTAAAGATGTGCAAGGCTTGAGCGGACGCATTACCAGGGAGAGCAGACTCACTAGCACCTAGGGCTGCAGGCTCTATACCTGGGTCAGGCGGCATATTCAAGTAGCAGTCACCCTCAGCACTAACAGTCAATGAATACATGGCAGTAAGAATAGTATCGTAGTCAAGATCAAAGATAGGAACATCACGTCTAAGCAGGTCTGCCCAGGGGAGAAACTCAGTAGCCTCAGGAAACTTGGTGCGCCAGGCGTCGCTAAGCCGAGAGAAGCAGCGGTACTCCGTGTGAAAGCCGTTGCGTGGGCGACCAGCGCGGGGACCTGAGCGAATGATATAGGGGCAGCGAACAGGACCCCCAGACGCCCCACGCTGAGCGTACCAGTCATGAAGCTGCTGAGGCGTGGGGGTCTGGCGCTGACGCTGGTGGTGGTGCTGCTGCTGCGGCTGCTGCTACCGTCCCTGGCCACCACTGGAGCTCCCCTTCTGGCCGGTTCCACCCCAGCCCCCACCACCGATGCCACAACCGCTCCCTCCTCCCCCACTACCGCCGCTGCCACCTCCACTGCCCCCCGGTACCTCCACAGCCCCCACCACCACCTCCACCCCCACGACCACCCCCACCACCTCCACCTCCCCCGCTGCCTCCACCACCGCCCCCTCCACCGCCACCTCCACCTCCCCTGCCACCCCTGCTGCCCCTGGCGCCGCGGCGCTTCCCACTAGGAGCGGAAGCAGCCCCGACCTCCTCAGCACCAAGGAATTTGACAGCAGCAGCAGCAGAGGCGTAGGAGGGGGCAAGAGGGGAGGGGGAGCACCCCTCAAAGAGGGGAGTGCGAGGAGTGCCACGAGCAGCACCTACAGCGAGAATGTTCTTTTTGGATGCTAGGAGGTGCTTCTCGAAGTCGGCGACAGTGAGAGAAAAGGGGTCTAGGGCGAGAAAGTGGTCCTTGAATGAGCGAAGAGTATCAGGGAGGCGGGTGACGAGGAAGTAGAGAGTAAAGTACATCGGAGGATGATTCTCGGCGAGGAACTCATCTAGAAGGGCGGCACGAAGGCGAACGTCACTAGCGCGAAGGTGAGTGATGAGGTCCTCAGCGGTGGTAAACGAGGACAAGTTGGGGAACAGGTAGGGTAGGAGAAGACGACCTAGGGCGGCGCGCAGGGCAGCCGCGGGCAGCGTGCACGCTGCTGGGTCGGGGCGCGAGCGGCTGGGGCGGTGCGCAGGGCACCCGCGAGCTGCGCGCGGGCTGCCGGGGCGGTGCACGAGCAGCGCAGGCGGCGCGCGGGGCAGCAGCGAGCCGCGCGCGGGCTGCCGAGGTGCGGCGGAGCAGCGCAGGCGGCGCGTGGGGCAGCAGCAGGCTGCGCGCGAGTTGCCGAGGTGTGGCGCGAGCAGCTAGGACGGCGCGCGGGGCAGCAGCGGGCTGCGCGTAAGCTGCCGAGACGCGGCGCGAGCAGCTAGGGCGGCGCGCGGGGCAACAGCAGAGTGCGCGCGGGCTGCCGAGGCGCGGCGCGAGCAGCGAGGGCGACGCGCGGGGCAGCAGCGGACGGCGCGCGGGGATTAGGGCTGCACGCGAGGCAGCAGCAAACAGCGCACAGGCTGCAGGACGGCGCGCGCAGCGCAGCACGTCACAGTCTAGGCAAGGGCAAGGCGCAGACACAGTCACAGTCATAGTCTAGACGTGGGATAGCGGTAGGTGGGCCTGAAAAAAAAGACGGTCCTACGGACCTACTGCTATGAAACCATGTTAGAAACTACAGGCAGGAATGAATAAACTAGAAGGAAGTTGGGTACAAATATGAAACCCTAAAGGGGCTATACCCCATATTGGCTACCCCGCTACAGCCTACACATATATATTACATATATAATTTGACACAAGAAAGTAACGCAGAGCGATGTGCTTCGTCCTGTGCTCCAGTCTGTGCTCCTGACACAAGGCAATCATGGTCTTGTTGTCTACGTACAGCAGGGCCCGTGC